TGGAACATCAGGAACTTTGATTCACCAACACATCAAGACCCTGAAAGAGCTAACTACAAAGTAGAAGATACTTGCAATACATATATCTAACAAGACTGCATCCAGAATATAGAAGGAACTACAAATCAAAATGAAAAAGTAAACAGCATAATTTAAAAAAAAAAAAGCAAAAGACTTAACACTTCAAAAGCAGAAATCCAAATGGGCAATCAATATGGTGTCCCTAATATGAAAAAGTGTCCCAGTTCATTAGCCATCAGGAAAATAAAATTAAAACTATAGTGCAGACTACTACCATGCACCCTTTAAAATAACTAAAAATGTTTTTAAAACCCTGAAAATACTAAGTGTTGACAAAAATGTAGAAAAACAAACTGTCTTACACTGCTGCTGGTAGTGTAAATCTGTGAAACCACTTTGCAAAACTTTAACAGAATCTGCTATAAATGAACATACCATATAATCAAAACCATGACCTAATAATTCCACTAAGATATATACACATAAAAATGCATGTTCACCAGGTAGAAGCAGCAAAACTAAAAACACCCAAATGTTCATTACAATAGAATGGACAAACTGTGGTTCGCCCAATATTCACCCAATAGAATACAGCAATGAAAATGAACAAACTACAATATAACATGGATTAATCTCATAATTGTAATGTTGAGCAAAAGAGGCCCAAATAAGACATGCTAGTCTATGATTCTACTTATACAGAGTTCAAAAACACAAAAATTTTCTACAACTTTAGATTACAAAGAACACAGAGGTATAAGGGCTGAGAATAGCCGTACTGCTATGTTTTCGAGCTGGGTGCCGATTGCATGAATGTGCTTATTTTGTGAAAAAAGTTCAATGATATGTAAGTCATACTTCTTTTTAAAATCTTACATTAAATGGGGTGCTCAACTGGTGGATCAGGATTCCTAATCCTTTCTTATCATCAAGATGCTTTATCCATACTATGGTCAGAGACTTAACTGAAACAGCCCTGTATTACCCACCTTCCTCTTCAGAATTTAAACATCAATGTCTCTGTCCACATCTACCATATGCCAAGCACTCTAACATTCGTTAATTCAAATACTTATTGAATAACTACTATGTGTAAAACCTGTGCCGACTACTTAGGGTACAAGAAAATGAGGAAGACATGGTCCCTGGCTTACTGTTTATGATTTTAGAGAAGAGCACATACACAAACTACAAGGTAAATATATAGAGATAAGCACAGGACATTACAGGAGCACAAAGGAACATCAAAACAGCCTGGGGGAGGAAAGATATCAGGGTAGGCTTCCTGGAGGTGTTAACACCTGAATCTTAAAAAGTGAGGAGGAGTTATCCTCACAAAGTGCACTGCAACAGAGGAAACAACTTAGTAAAAGCACAATGATAGTACAGTGTATTTAAAGAAACAATGAACAGCTGCTAGATGTTGCTTAAGGGTAGTAAGGCAAGAAATGGGATGGGTGGGGGAAATGGCCAAAGAGATAGGAAGATGCCAAGTCACGAAGGGAGTTATTAGACCCTAACCAATTGACTAGATGGGACAGTGAGGCTTATGTAAAGAAATTATGTGGTCAGAGAGATTATTCGAAGAGCTGTGCAGAAGACGGTGTTAAGGGGGATAAGGCTGACAGAAAGAAGGCCAGTTAGGAGGCAGTTATAACTGCCCTACAGAAGATAAAAGGGCCTGAAATAATGAAATGAAAGCTGTCACAAATCTGGAGAAAATATGGAGTACACACATATTATGCTGCTGGTCTACAGATCATACTTTAAGCTCACTAACCTGTATTAAGGGTTATCAAATTTCTTCCTCAGTAGACCAAATAAGGATTTTAGGGCAAATATGGTCTCGATTGCACTTCTTGGTTTTTGTTTTTTAAATCTTTAAAAATTAAAAACCATTCTCAGCTAGTGGATTTTTTTTTTTTAAAGGCAGCAAGCTGGATTTGTGAGTGCAGTTTGCGGATCCCTGCTGTACACCGGTGAAGACATGAGAATTAACCTTCCTATGAGATTAATTTTCCTAAAATGCAACGAATATCAGTCCTCTACTCAGAAACTTCTCCAATGCTCCTGACTGCCTACTGAAGTCAAATCCCTACAATGCATAGCATTCACAGATCTCTACACTACAGCTCCAACCAGGCAGATGAACTATACCCCTCTATGAATCTTCCATTCTTATTAAGTCAACCTAGTTACATTTACCTGCCTCTGTATCTTTGTGGTGTTCCCCTGTGTTCTTCCCTCCTTTCCAAACCTGTGCAAATACCCTTCCTTCAAAGCACAATTCAAATCTTACAATAAAGCGATTCCACCCTCCTCAGAACTCCTAAGAAAACTGTCTCAATTATTCTGATACTTACTTGCTATCTTGAGCTTACTTCAAATAAATTGTATATTCCTTGAGGGCAGGGAATAATGTATACTTCTCTCTACCAATGAATAGAGCATATAACAAGGGGTAAATAAAAATGAGGATATATGTGTATATGTATATAACATACATATGTATATACACACATGGTTTTTTCCTAAACTATTACGGTAGCAAATGTGATTTCATCCTTACCTTGTATCAGTAATTGAACACTTTAACTCCATAGACATCATTTGAATGCCACAGGAACCACAGAATGATAATCCACAAATACATTACTCTCCTATTATATGTTTTTAGGACTAGTTTATTAGGGAAAAAATAATAATAGAAGTAGAATTTTTCCAATGGAAAATGTCATTATATAGGTGCACTGGGATAATATTAGATATAGAAGTTACTAGACCAACTCAAAGTTTACTTACCTACATTTTTATTTATTTTTAAAATACAAAATAAGATTTTACAACTAACTTGCTTTAAATTCACCCTTCATTTTTACTCAAATTTAAAGCCACGCATACATACATATACACAAAACATACAGAAGAGCCACACATGGTTTGAATTGTTTTTAACAGCCAAGTTCTGTGTGACATTTCACATTACCAAAATGGCACTGATTTCATTCAGAATTTAGGGAAGAGAATATATTTTAAAATTTTAAGAGAATAGTCCATTTTAGTTCATTATTGTTAAACAGCTATAATCACACTCTGTTTTGAGCTGGATTAACGATTCTTCCTCTACTTGAGATTACTGAAGAAGTCTTTTTCAAGTCCAAAGTGTGAACTGTATCTTATTTTACTACACAAAGAATGTCCAAAAATCTATAAAAATTTCTCCAGAATCATTTGCCCATATTTCAATGCCAACTACAAAGAAGTTTAAAACATTTATAGATATTTTAAAAAGCAAAAGAAATTAAATAAAAGATGGTCACGAACGTGAATACTGAGACTTTTTAACTCTTCAAAATACACTGAAGAAAACTTAGTAATTTACAACTCTGAAAAGACTATTTTTTGTCGATAAATCTAATATAATGCACTAACTGGAGGACAAACCCAGGAACCAGGGATTCCCATTTCTCAACTCCTGTTCTGCCTCTGGCTTCACACAGCCTGGGGCACATCCCCATATGGTGAACAAGAAAGGCTTCACTGACATTCTAAGGTTGTGAGAATTGATTCAATGTTTATGAAGTGCTCTAGAAGCACAAAGGAAAGCCAGTGTAACCATTAAATGTCATTTAGTTAATACAAAACTGTAACTATCTGTTAGGCTTGCAAATCCAATCATCAAGATTCTTTTGTGTCTTCTTACACCGCAGATCTTCAGTGAGTCAGTAAAGTACATGTATTTAACGAGCTAGTTTAGCAACCTCAGAGAAATTGACTTTTCTTCCGAATCTGTGTTTGCTCACAAACTGTCACTATCCAACCGAACTATTTGCAAAGGAAAACACGGCCCGATTCACATTAAAATCAAGTCTAGTTATTGATAAGCCAATACCGAATGACTGCAGACTGCTAGGAATCACGGTGGAACTTTGTTAACCGAAATGTGACGCCGGAAAGTAATCCCACAAAACAGTCATCCTAAAAAGAGCCTTATTAAAGGGAAAGTCCCTACACTTTTTTAAAGAGCTGGGAAATGATTTCAGGCAGTGTGGACAGAAGACGAAATTCACTCAGAACCTCATCGACTGCGTTAGAGAGTCCCAGCACCTGCGAAGTGGGTAACGCCGAGAGGCCGGCGAGGGCGCTCGGGAAAAGTGCTGATGCCATCTCTCCGGCTGCCCCTCTCGTGAATGACAGCAACAATGCAAACATTGACAAAAGGGCTGGGAGGCTGCCCCGAGCGTCTGCCTAGCAATACTTCCACCCTACCCCCAACACGCGGAGCCACACATCCCAGCCCAGGCCCTCCCCTCCGGGTCTCGCCCGCCGGGACCGCGTCTCGAGTTCGGCAGCGTGGGCAAGCGCTCCCCTCCGCTCGGTCGGAGACCGCGGAGCTCCCCAAGGGGAGGGGACGCCGCCTCGGTCTGCGCGGCCAGGGGGAAGGAGACACTTCCTCTCCGCAGACGGCGAGCGGCGCCGGGCGGGCACGGGCGCCCGCGGAGAACTCCGGCGCCTCGGACCGCCGGCGCGCAGGCAGGAGGCCGGAGGGTCGCCCGGCCCCGCGCGCAGGCAGCGGGGCTCGGGATCCCGGCTGACGGCGGCCCCCGGGGTGGCAGCGCCCGGCCGCCGGCTTCGCGGGAGCCGGGGGGAGGGGACGGTCGGCTCGGTCCCGGAGCACAGGGAGCGCATTCTTTCCTTGAGCCCCGTCTCGAAGGACAGCGCAGGCGGCCGGGCGGCAACTCTCCCTCTCGCCCAACTCCGGGGTGAGCGCGAGGGCGAGCTGCCCGGGGGGATGCCGCCCGGGTGGGGGAGGCGGCGACGCCGGCCTCGGGTCCGCTCCCTCCCCACGCGGTCCGCGGCGGAGGCCGTCCGCGCCCAGGTCCCTCCCGCCGCCGCGCGGGGCAGGGCCGCCGACCTCGGCCGGGCGGGCGCGGGGCCAGGCGGCGGCGGCGGGCGGGCCGGCCGGCCTGGGGCCCTACCTGAGGCTGTGTACCAGCTCCCGGCGTGACTGGCTTCCCGGCAGACCACTCGGTTGGACATCTTGGTGCCTGTGCCGCCTATGGTGCACGAGGATGAATGAGGAGGCGGCGGCGGCGGCGGCAGGAGCGGCTCCGCGAGGGGACGAGACACCGCGGGCCCAGCCCAGGAGGAGGCGGCAGCGGGGAGGGGATCAGCCCGGCCCAGGAGGAGGAGGAAGAGGAGGAGGCGGCGGCGGCCCAGGAGTAGGAGGAGATGGCAGCCGGGGCGGTGGCAGCAACAATCACCTCACACTCCGGCGACCGCCGGAAGATGGGGCCCGCGGCGGCTTCACCGAAGCCCGGAAAGCCCTGGCCCGGGCCCCCAGAGTCGCCGCTGCTCCCCAGCCGGGGCTGGTTCCGCCGAGCCGCCCCCGCGGCCCCCTCCCCTCCCCTCCCAGTTGGCCTCCCGGAGCCACCGCCGGTGACCCCACCCCCGTGACTCCGCGCCCGCCCCCTCCCCCCACCCCCCGCGGGACTCCCAGCACCCACCCCCACCCCGGGCAGGGCCCTCCTGCCCGCCCGGCCGCCGGCCCGCTGGCCCCGCCCCGCCCCTCCTCCGGCCGCGCGGCGAGGTTAAAGGCGGAAACCGGACAGGCCAGACGGCATCTGGGGTCGGGCGGCCCCGCGAGAAGGCGGCGGCGGCTGCAGCAGGTCCGCGCGCACAAAAGCCCAGGGCCGGGGCCTGAACCGGGGAAGGCAGACCCGGAGGAGAGCCAACGCTTCCTTACTCGCCACTCTAACGGGTCCTGCCCACTGAGCATGCCCAGCAGCCGCTGCCAGGCCCGCCGAGGAATCTCAATGTGCACGCTCCGCTCTCCGGGCTTTAGAGGCAGCAGAGGCTGGGGGGGCGGGGGGAGCAGGACGCAGCCGCAGGGCAAGCCCCCTCCCCCAGCCAACTTCCTTAAATGAAGAGCACCGGGGGCCCGCAGATGCGGTTTTCCACGAGGAAAAGCCCGGCTTCTACCTCCCTTCCCGCATTATACACAGGAATCCTTGATGCACTGGAAGCCCCAAGGTTCACAACTAGGGACGCAAGTCAGGCCACGTTGGGAAGTTCATTTGCACAGGCAGGCACATGGCAGTATGCCTACGGTCCAGCGAACGCTGGTTTTTTGCTTCACAGAGCCACCCTAACCACCCAGTCTTGGCTTTGACACTGTAAACATTTCTCCTGTTTCACGTAATATACCTGTAGGGGCATGTCTCACCTCCTTCACTAAAGTGTGATACACCTAGCTTCAGTTATCCTCATCTATAAAATGGGAATAACAATATTCCCTAGGATTATGAATTAGTAGAGAGTACGACAGAGTAGACACACAGCACACAGTATTTCCAACCCTCCATTATTTTTATGAACTCCTGTATTCCACGTAAGGGTTGGGAGCAAAGAGTTCATTTCAAATTATAGAAGAATCACAGCAAAGAAAGATATATTGGACCTCACAAGAACTGTTGTTGTGAAGTAAACCATTCCAAAACTGGGAAGAGAAAAAAAGAGTAAGTTGCATATCTTCAGTGAAAGATTTGGGGTTAAGAGCCATAAAACTGTTGTATCAGAATTTCACAGTAAACAGATCTTTGGTAAAGTCCAAAGCAGACAACTGGCTAATATTCAAGCTGCCTAATATTCAAGTTTCCCTAGCACCCTAATAATATACTTTAAAAAAAAAAAAAAAAGGCACTATCCTATTCCTACACCTCCTACCTTTTTCAACTTTAAACCCAAGGTCTTGTGGGGGATTGCAGTCCTAAAGCCTGGTCAATTACTGGAACATATCTGACTTTCACACCCTTTTCTACAGTTATTAGGCTAACATATCTCCACTGCATCTATATACATATTTCTTCACTGATGTTTAAGCCTCTCACTTCACCACTAACTTCCCCATATAAGAGATTAAAAACGAAAAAAAAAAGTACATGCCAAATAGGGATTAGGAGAAAAAGGAGAGCTGGACCTCTGATTCTGTGGTAGCTTCAAACTCAATTAACAACTGATGAAATGGTAAACTTTTCATTGTAAACCTCAAGAAAAGGAAACTGTTGATATGGTTGATATGGTGTTGATAACAGGTGATAGCTCTTGAAGGTAATCATTGCTGATTCTGTTTATATGGCCTAAAAAAGGAGGGGAGGAGACAGTGGATACAATGAAGCTTCCTATAACAGGCTGGTCAAATGAGAAAGTCAGATCTGAGTCCTGGCTCTGTCACTCATCAACTGTGTGATCACGGGCACCTAGTCATTTAACTAGTCAAGCCTCAGTTTTCTCATCTGTCAAACATAAACAGCAGTAATATCTAACAAGTTTGCCCTGAGAATAAAGGTAGGTGAACACGATGTATAAACTGTTCTTTGTGTTTGTTATTATCCTCTGCTCCTAGCAACAATCCTAAATCTCATTCTAAACTAGTAGTCTAATTTAAAATTAAGCTTTCATCCTATTAAAATGCTCAGTTGGAGGCTTCTTTCCCCAAAGGATTTTTCTTACTGGTCAAATTCAGCAAATACCATACCACCAAAGTAAAGTGGAAGGTTAGTGGAACTTCTAGTATCTCTAGAACACTCTCAATATATCCCACCATTGCTACTCCTGTCCATTTTATTCTGGCCACCTTATTCAAGGACAGACCCTAAAAGGAAACAAGTTGAACCTATTCACTTACCCACCTCCCCTAAATAATTTTGCATCTATACAATGCAAAATACCAGGAGAAGCCTGTTTGGCAATACTGTGCAATTCCCATATTATTATTAACAATTTCCATTATACTGTATCCTCCAGGGATTGGGTTTGACACTCCATAAACATCTTTCATAGTAAAGAGCAAGAAGGAAATCTTCATTAATAGAGTCCTTATGAAGCACAGACATTCAATAAATAGGTACTACTAGTTCCAGAACCCAACATTAATAACCCAATACATCTTCTGAAATAGCATGTTAGATACCTGTGCTCGTAAATGACCAGAAACAACCACAGTGTCCCTCAATATGAGACTTGTTACATTAGAACGTATCCATACATATGCACCCATTAAAAGGTATGAGGTGGTGCTACATACTGGTGTGAAAAGAGGCCGCCCCACCTCAAAAAAAAGAAGAAAAGCAAATTGCAGAACATGTAAAGTATGCTATCATTTGTATAAAATAAGTACTTACATTCTTGTACACTTCATATACATGAATACTTTTCGAAGGATATACAACAAACTGGTGGTAGTAGTAATTGCTTGAGATGGCTGAGGTGCAAGAATAAAGATTTAACCTTTTCAATGCACATTTTGTGTATCTTTTGAATTCTGTGACATATACTACCTATACAAAAAAATTAGTTTACATCTTTAGGCTTGATCTTTGAAATCTACCATGACAATATTAAATTGATTGTTTTTAGATTTTTACTTATCCACAACTGACAGCTTCAGGAGCCCCCTAATTACTGAAAACCCCATATCAGAAAAATATTCTAGTATACCAGAGTTTTGAACAAATCAAGGCTGAGAGAAAGTTTGGCATAAAGATGCTCTTTTGATTCCAAATAAAACTGGCACTCTAACTTAGTATCAGTAGACTTCGCCTTTCTTCTTTAGAAACCAAATTTCTTAAGTGACATTTATTAAACACTTACTATGTTCCTGACACTGGGCGAAGTACTTTATATTTAATGATTTTTGTAAGATGAACATTTCTTCCTTGCAACTTTTTAGAATAAATTTTGTACATAAAGCTTTTTTCAAATTTATTGTTAATGTTATTTAGGATTCCCAAAGATGAAATATAACTGAGTCAAAAAATTTAAAGTTTTTTTAAAGCCTGACAACTTTTTAAAAGAAAATTCTTATTCATTAGTGACTACCCCTTTTTATCTCTGGTGACCTATTTTCCATCATATACTGAGCAGGCAAAATATAGTTTATTCTTGTTATTATTTATTATTTGTATTATGATTATTGGATTTCATATCCTTATTTGTGTCTTTTAGGTAATGATAACTGGTAATTTAACCAATGATCAAAGAAAGTACATTCTTGCCCTGGCTGGTGTGGCTCAGTGGACTGAGCACCGCCTATGGACTGAAGGGTGGCTGGTCAGCGCACATGCTTGGGTTGTGGGTCAGGGGGCCATGTACCCAGCTGGGGTGCGTGTGAGAAGCAACCAATGGATGTTTCTTTCACACCTCAATGTTTCTCTGCCTCTCTTTCTCCTTCCTTTCCCCCTCTCTAAAAATAAATATATAAAATCGTTTGTTTTTAAAACAGATTCTTAAACCTACTTTTGCCCACCCTTGTACTTTCCTAATTTTAATTCAGAGATTTTTAAATGAGCAGATTCTCAGTGACAGTCATTCATAGTTTTCACCTTTTGTTCCTTGTTTAAGGCTTTAAATTTGTTAAAGCTTTTTTGGAATCTAGTAAAAACATCTGGCTACAATATTTTTATGCTATACCTACAACCATTCTGTTTCTAATGAGAAGTTATCAATCTTAAAATCCCACTATATCTTCTCCTAAATAAGATTTAAACAAAGGTCCAACATTTTTTCCTACAGGCTCATCAGTATTAGGTAGACTATCTTCCTCTATCAAAACTGTTTCTTTTTTTGTAATTCAAGTTCTCTGTTTCCTCTAGGAATCTATTCCTGATTTATTCTACTGGTCCATCCTCCCACTAACACACTTAGCAACATAATTAAAGAATTCACTCTATAGGATACAGTATGTCTTATCCTACCTCTGTATTTGTCTACTAAACTTCCCCATTAAATTAAGCGGTGGAAGGGTGGGAATTATTTCTATAACTGCCAGCTACACAGAATACCTCATCAAGATTTCGTAGAAGCTTTTTAACTGATTTCTATTTAAACAGCTTACGGGAGTAAATGATGCTCTCCACACCCACAGTAAAACACACTAAACAATGCCCACCACAAGCTGAACCCTTAAAGCTGGTAGACTACATTTTTTAGTAAACTCTCACACTATTGCACTCATCTCTCAGATTTGTGTGCATAACTAACAAGGGTCAACCATGTTCTCCAACCTTTTTACATTAGTTGTACTAGGCACTGCCATTATATAATGTAATTAAATATTGCATGAACCAATGAAATATAAACATAATACAAAAGGTGTTTGTACAAAAATTAGATAGAATTCTTTAGAAAAACTCAAAAACCAATGTCAAATTTGAGGCAGATGACAGAGGCCAAAAAATAAAAATCATAAAAAAACTACAGGACTCTACAAATTCTTAAATGTTTAAAATCTTACTCTACTTTCAGAAAGTCTGAAACTGAAATTTGTAGACCATACATTATGTTTTGTGGCAAATAATACAGAATTCCAACCAAAGAGCACATAACCAGAGAAAATACAAATCAAAATACTATATTATCAATATGGATTAATATTTTAAGCTTTAAAAAAAACTATTTGTTGTCATTTATGATTCCCTACTGTGACTTTTTCAGCTACCAGATACAATGGCTTCTACTGTACACACCTATGAAAAAATTTAAGCCCACCTGAGAGCATTATGCAGAGTGTAATATAATATTAAGGTAATATAACATTAAGTTGGGTTTGAATTTTTGCCCCAACCTACTTCCCTTGTAACCTTCAGCAAGTTAACCAAATTTCACATCCTTCATCTAAAAATGAAGTACTAAAATTAAACCTGCCTCACTGAGTTTTTGAGGGTTAAATGACAATTCACATTAAAAGTATTTAGCATGGTCCTGGCCAGGTAGCTCAGTTGGTTAAAGCATCATCACAGTATGCCAAAGTTGTAGGTTTCCTCCCAGTCAGGGCACATGTAAGAAATCAACCAAGAAATGCAGAAATGGGTAGAACAACAAATCAGTATCTGTCTCTGTCTCTTTGTCTCTCTCTTCCCCTTCCTCTCTCAAATCAAATTTTTTTAAAAAAATTAGCATGGTATCTGGCACATGTCAAGTGCCATGTGCACTACCAACAAAAGACATATCTATTCTAAGCCCTTACTAAAAAAAGCTATCAATTTCAAGACTGAGTAACTTAAGCACTATCTCAAAGATAATTCAATAGAACACTAGAAGTAATGGCAGCATTGTGCAGAGCACTGCATTATTTCCAAGTGATCATTAACCAGAGGTGTATATCAGAACACCCTAGTATTTGTCAAATTCAAAAGCCAATGTTCTCTCCCATTTCAATCAGGCTCTCCAGAGCCCAGATATATATTTATACATAATATAGACACTTACTAGTTTATATGTATATATTTAAATATTTAAAGTTCTACTATCATTTTTAAAAGGTACTAAAGGTTCAAGCTGTCAAAAAAAAAAAAAAATGTTCCCCAAGGGTCTCTGATGTAAATCACTGAAGAACAGTTAAAATAAAAGGATAAAATTAGTGACGCTTTAATAACAGATTACCCCATTGTACTTGCTCAACTGTTAAAATATCACTAAAGAGACTTGGGCAGATTAAAATATCAGTTAGCTAAATAACCAAAATAAATTTGATGGAATGTTTATGAAAAATACTTATAAATAGATCTCAATTTTTCCAGGTTTTTCCTGTTCAAATACATAGATCTGCAAATGTAAATCAAAACCGCAGTATCACCTCCCCACAAGTGTCCTTCCCAGTGAAATGTTTCTCCTATACGAGAGAGAACTGTAAGATATATCTCATCAGCATTAAATTTCTAACGTCCCCTTCATGCGCTTAGCTTGGACAGTTTTTAATATGCTTCCAAAGCAGGGTGTCTCAACCTCAGCACTACTGACTCTTTGACCCAGACAATTCTTAGGGAGGGGTAGGGCATACAGGCTTTCCAGTGCAGTGTGAAATGTGTAGCGGCATCCCTGGCCATCACCCTCTCAACGCCAGCAGAACCCCACCATAATCCAATTCTGACAACCAAAATGTTTCTAGACATAGCCAAATATCCTCAGGAGAGAGGAGGGCAAATCACCCCCCACTGAGAACTACTACTCTAATGAATGTTTTTCCTGCCTGACTCTCTTTAGACAATTTCCTCTTCTCTTAATGAGTTATCTCCATTTCTTCATAAAAGACAAAGTGAGCAGACCCAAAAATAGGACTGGCTGGTTTATTGTAAAAAAAAAAAACAAAAACAAAAACAAAAACAATGATATAAGGAGTAGCATAAGTACTCCTCACTTAGCTATAGGCAACATATTGATAGAAGTAGGTTTGAATGCCCATTCAAGCACTTACCAGCGTGGTCTTGAGCAAGTCCCTTATCCTCTCCAAATGTTTCCTCATCTGCAAAATGGGAATAACAATATCTACTTTGCAGAGTTGTTATATTAGAAATAAGTAAAAAAGTACTGTGCCTGACACATAATAGAACTGCAATGATAGCTGCTATTATATTTTTACCATGAAAGTTGACAGCATGGGAGGATAATGTACACCCTCTACAGTGCTTTTATCAGAATATACTCCAATCTTACTTTGCCTTAGAACCACCTGTGGTAGTTTTTAAAAACTGAAGATACCCAGATTCCACCCTCCAAGAGGCACAAGAACAATGTTGAAAAAAACTTGAGATTTTTTAATATTATACTAGAGTCTGATGTATTTTTATGCTGTTGTAAAACCCTACAGCATTCTCAGATACAAAAGTCATAAAAGTAATTGAACCACATAAATTATTTATCATAGAGAACAAAAACTACATTACAATAATGACATTTAACAGTTTATTTTGAAGGTCATTTTAAAAACAAAGTTAAAGACAATCTGAGAAAAAATTGCACATAATACACTCATTAAATAAGTATGGTGATTAAATCAAAATAAGGGAAATAGGTTTTCTTCTGCAACTCCAGTAACAAGTTGTTACCCTGAAGGTTCTTATACTTTCAAAATGGTTGGGGGAGGGGAGAAATCATGGCAATTAAAGCTGCCTCTTAATCATGTAAATCTATAGTAGAAACCAAATATTTCTGTTCTTCCCAGTAGGTCAGTTTCGATCTTCAAACTGTGCCTTGTTTTTTAAAAGATATGATGCTAGAAATTCAATGGGATTTGGTGGTCTGTAAAGGAAAAGAAATCCAAAATTTAGAAATTTATATTCTACATGGGTTCATTTAAATATAACTTCATAATAAGAATACATCTTTTAAAGTTTAACTTTCTTTTTATACTCAAAGACCACTTGTAGTATAATAAATACAGTAAATGATAGGCAAGTGGGTTAGCCAACAATGCAGTTTAAAGAGACTGAAATTACTGTATGGCTGAAACCTGCTTATGAACTCAATTCTAAAACACAAGTTTCAAAAGTGTACTAAAATGGAATGTTGATTGCCCCAGGGGAATGATGACTTGAAGGGACACGTGAGGCTGCTGGGGTGCTGGCAGTATTTTGTTTCTTGATCTGAATGCAGGTTATGTAGAGATACGCTTAGTTTCTGAAAATTCATTAAGCTGTACATACACCTATAATATTCTTAATTTCCTATATGAGTATTATCCTTCAAAAAGAATTTGAAAATAATATAGGAAAATGGCTCTAGCATCACCATGACACTTAAGATTAACTCCCTAAGTGAATAATCAAAAGAAGCAAATTCATTTGAACAGGTTGTTTTTTTAAAGTCATTTCTGCCCCGACTGATGTGGCTCAGAGGACTAGGTGCCAGTCAGTGAAACAAAAGGCAGCCGGTTCAGTTCCCAGACAAGGGCACATGCCTGGGTTGCGGGCTGGGTCCTGGTTGGGACACGCGAGAGGCAACTAATGGATGTGTCTCTCACACGTCAATTTTTCTCTCCCTCTCTTTCTCCCTTCTTTCCCTTCTCTCTGAAAATAAATAAATAAAACCTTTAAAAAAGGTCACTTCTATTTTTCTTCAAATAATTTAAACCAATTCTAATACTGCCACCACACAGCACACCCAAGACATTAACTATATAATTTAAAATAAAAGGGGCCCTAGCTCAGTTGGTTAGAGCATCATCCCAACATGCCAAGGTTCCAGGTTCAGTCCCCAGTCAGGGCATATACAAGGATCATGCAATGAATACATAAATGGGACAACAAATCAATGTTTCTCTCTCTCTGCTTCCTCTCTCTTTCTCTCTAAATTTTAAAAAATTAAAATTAAGGGGTATTACTGAATATTTATCACTTTTACATAAATTATTCTTGCTAAGAAAACAAATCCAAAGATTAAAAGTGGGAGAAACACCTATTTAAATCCTACAAGGAGAAGACATATTAAGAATTGATTTATAGTGATCTCCAAATATTCCCAAGTATTAGTACTTTAAATAAGCTTTTAACTGGCCAGACACAGACAACATTTTTCAAGGTTAATTTGATAAATCATTCTGCCAACTCTTTACTTAAAAATTGTATTTATTAAGAGCGTATTACTTAAAACTATATAAACTTTTTCTTCTAGCATGTAAATATTCAGAATTTCTAATTACTAACCTTTTTTTAGAGAAAGAACAAAAAAAGGTCCATATTTCAACTGGTAGTAGTAGAGCTATAAATAAATAAATCCTATTTTATAAATATAACAATCTAAAATATTTATCATATAATTTTACATAAATATACTATTCTAAATCAATAACTCACCCTACCTATAAGACATAATTCCATCAAGTTCCTTATCAAGTTTTATTAGTTTGCTAGTATTCATTACTATTCTTTGAAACATAATCTATACCTAATAAATGTTGACTAATGTTACTTACAAAAAATGATTATGGATTTGCTTACACAAAAATAATTAAGGTAGAATTACTGTGGAATAATATGCACAGAAAAGGGAAAAATCATAATCTTGTTAATAAAGAAATGTAAATCAAAACAATTTGGCAAAAAATGTTTATAACACTCCTGCTGTTGAGGCTGTAATAACATTGAAAGAATTTTAAGAATAAACTTTTGGACATAAATATGATACTAAGTGTCAAACACCATAAAAATAGCCATGTCCTTTAAACTAGCAAACCAACTCTGGGGAATTTACCATAGGAAAGTAACTGAATGAAACAAAAGAAGTATAAAAACAGATAAACTGTCTGGTGACCTATAATAACAAAGGAAGTTGAACGTAAATTTTCAACAATGGCCAAGTTAATTGTGGTACTACTATAATTTAAATAATAATCATGAAGTCTATGCGAAGATATGGAAGAAGATTCATGTTATAAGGTTAAGTAAAAAGGAGATATAAAATTACCTACATACTGCCCTTGCCAGGTGACTCAATTGGTTAGAGCATTGTCCCCACACAGCAAAAAAAAAAAAAAAAAAAAAAAAAAAAAAAAGGTGTGAGTTTGATCCCCGTTCAGGGCTCATGCAGGAGGCAAGCAAGTGATGTTTCTCTCTCACAGTGATGTTTCTTTCTCTCTCACCCTTCCTCTCTAAAAAAACATATTCCCACCCTGGCTGGTATGTCTCAGTGGATTGAGTGTCAGCCTGTGAACCAAAAGGCCTCTGGTTCAATTCCTGGTCAAGGTATGTGCCTGGATTGCTGGCCACATCCCCAGCTGGAGCACACAAGAGGCAACCAATTAATTCATGTTTTTCTCACACATGGATGTTTCTCACCTTCTCATTCTCCCCCTATTCCTCTCTCTAAAAATAAATAAAATCTTTAAAAAAAAAAAAAATCCTTGGGTGAGGATTAAAAAAAATTACATGTATACCATGATTATAAATCTTTATATTGCATATGATCAAAGACCTAGTAGAAAAAAATTAGAGTATCTGAACTGAGATTACGACTGACTTTAAAAATATCTTTACTATCCACAGATTCCTTACATAGGAAAAAATACTATTTATAACTAATGATATTTCAATTAGAGAAGTCTTTGCTTTCTCTGGTAACTCCTCCGCAGACACTATCTTACCTTTCCTTTGCAAGCACAGCAAGTCCTTGTAATAAGATAGGCACAACAGTCTGGTCCAGGTAGGCACGAGTTGGCAAAGACTGGAGATCCACTTTCTGTTTTGATGACTTTTCTGCATTAATCTTCTCATTTTCTACTATCCTCTATTAAATTCAAAAAAACACGCACAAATATTACAAATACTTAATTATTTTGAGTGCTAAACAAAAATTAATGGAAACATGATGCTAATAGAAAAGGCAAGCCAATGACTTAAAAACTGGTATTGAACTGCAAATCCTTTGCCAAAATAAAATCAGACCCATCTCTAAATTTCATTCAAGCTTCTTCTCTCTGAAAGCACCATAATATCTCTTTCTTTTAATGTCATATCTCCAGATCCTACTCTTTCTCACTTTCCTCTCTGCTGTTTTAGAAGTAAATACAAGTCCTTTTTCTTTTCATCATGAGAATACCTTCTTACAGTGCTTCAAAAAATCTGGACAAGACACTAGCACTAAATCACAGTGAGAAAGCTAGTCCTATTTCAATTCTTTCATCACAGATAATATCAAGGACCAAGTTTCAGTTTGGTGCTAATATGTCTTTAACACTTTTGTAACACTTGCTGGATTCTATTAACAGAAACAGGCTTCAGACTCAGAGACTTCTATTAGCAATAGAATCCAGCTAACATACAAGGTCCGGCACAAATAATGCCCCTTTTTTATTACAAAATCTTTTATTACAAAATCATAAGCATGTAATCCTCTAACTTAGCAATATCACACTCAAGTATACCATATGACATTTTAGGTGAAATGTTATTAAATTAAAACTATAAATTATTATACCCATATTACTATCCTACTGACCACACTCAAGCAGGCTTACTTCTGGTAGACCCTGTATATTAGCACTGTTTTATACTCAGTTTTCATTTTTATAGCTACCCTCTATCCAAGGAGAATACTTTCTCCATTTATGTTTCTTTTTTTAAAGAAATACATCTATGTTTTTTAAGTGAATAAAGAAAAAGTAGTGTGTAAAAAGTAGGAAAAAAGGGAAAATGACTTATATGGAAAAGATAATTAAGGTAATATTCAAATGTTTAGGAAACAATGACTCCTAAAAACCCCCAAATCTAGGGCCTTCACATATTCATCTGACATCCAGAGCATCAAAAACTAGTGAAAATGTTTGCCTTCTTTTGAAAATTTACCATTTTAGAAATTTAGAAATAAGTAGTCATCTAAAACACAAAACACTATTAAGAGCACTTCCATTTAAATAAACTTTTGCTCCAAACATACTCAAACTGAATATAAATAAATCAATAACAAAAAAGAAAACACTTTTCTACATTTATTATTATAAGATTTAATTTTATTTTATAAAAAGGGAAAATAAAAATTTAAATCACATACCTACATAATATATACCATGATTTCCAAAGATACTTCCCATAACTGTGTCAGGCAGCTATTCTAGGTTTGGTTATGATTTTCCAATCTAATTTTGGGACTTAAGAAAATTTTCTATACCTAATTAATGTATAAAGTAGCTATCTGTTTGCCCATCGGTTACTTATTAGTCATCAGTAAATTTCAACAGATAATACCTATATATGACAAAAACTAGTCAGTTACATGCCATTCCAATCACTGCCTTTGATAAGAAACAGCAATGCCTAAGCAATTCCTATAAATCCTATAATAAACTCCTTAACCAAATCCTCTCATTTGTTTCATTCAAATATTTACTAAGTATATATTATGTGCCAAATTGCTATGCTTAAGTCAAAATCCTGTATTAATCTATTATATACATATATATACACACACATCTCAAACTACTATAATACATAAACTGTTGAAAATACAAAACAGTGATCACAAAAGAAAGATGAGGTGAGCCTATAACTGCCCCAACCTACTGCTTCCTGCCTGGAGAACTTAATAGGACGCAATACCGGAAAAGAGAACCAAAGCAGAACCCAGCAGTCTCCCTGAGCTGGGAACAAAGTTGAAAACTCAGGGAGATCAAGCCATCTAGAATGTGCAGGGCAAAGTACTTAAGAGGAGTCCCATGGAGAGGAGAGAGTTGTATGGAGGGGAGAGAGTTGCACTGGAAGATGCTAGAGTGCCTTCCAGCCCTCTGGTGAGTACCTGTCAGTACATGGGTGTGAGGGAACTACGCAAGTCAAGGAAAAAAACCACATGGAAGGAGCAGAAGAAACAATCTCTGGCACTCACGCAGCCAGGAGTGCTTCATGTTTCTGTGACCTAGAATGGAAAAACCTCATAATAATACATGAAGCATGGGGTAGAATATGAAAGAGGACAAAATAAGGCCTAAACTAAGGGCTGGGCTGGTCCCACCTAATGAAGTTTAAACCTCAATTGTTTCCCGCCCTGACTGGTGTGGCTCAGTGGATTAAGAGCTGGCCTGCAAATCAAGGTATCGCCACTTCAACTCCCAGTCAGGGCACATGCTGGCTGGGACTGTGGGTCAGGTCCCCAGATGGGGGTTAGAGAGAGAGGCAACTGATTAATGTATTTCTTGGATGTTTTCTCCAAATAACCTAAGTCCGAGGACAAAGTTCAAGAATGTTTGAAGCCCTGGCCTGGTAGCTCAGTTGGTTAGAGCACCATCCTGATACACCCAGGTTGTGAGTTTGATACCTAGTCCGGGTACATACCAGAATCAATCAATGAATGCATACAGGGTACAAATTTATATGATGTTTCTCCCTCTCTCTCCCCCTGATAAGCCACCGAATAAAATTTTCTTTAAAAAGTTTAAAGGAATACAAAAACAAGTACCCAACAAGGTAAAATTCACACTGCCAGGTGGCGAGGAAGCAGGAAAATACACATAATTAGGAGAAAAACCAACCCGCAGTAAAGACCCAGAAATGACAGAAATGATAGACTAGGCAATTCCATTAAACCAGTTATTATATTCCATATGTTCGAGAATATAGAGGAAAACACAAATAAGCTAAAAAAAAACTTGAAAATAATATGAATAATAGCTGAAACTTTTTCAAATTTTCAGAGCCAAAAACTCAATAAATCTTAAGCACAAGAAACATAAAAAATTTTTAAAGTACACAAAGGCACATCATACTCAAATTGTTCAAAATCTGAAATAAAATTTTAAAAGCACCACAAAAAAAAGGCATTAAGTACAAAGGAACAAAGAAAGGAATGATAGCAGACTTCTTGTCAGAAACAGTGTTAGCCAGAAGACAAAAGAACAAATCTACTAGTAAAAGTATCTCAAAAACAAAGACCAAATAAATGACATTTTCAGACATTCAGAAGCTTAAAGAATTCCTTACCAGCAGACCTGAACTACAAGACATGTTAAAGGAAACCCTTCAGGTGGAAGGAAAATAATAACAGATGGAAGTATGGATCTACACAAAAGAATGAAGAGCCCAGAAATTATAAATGAGTAGGTAAATGTGAAATACTCCTTTTTCTTATTAAATCTCTTTAAAGATAATTGACTTTTTTAAGGAAAAAATAAAAACAATGAACTGTAGGGCTTATAACATATGTAAAAGTAAAGTATATGATAATAATAGTATAAAGGCCGAAAGAGAGGAACTGGAAAATTACTGTTCTAAGAGTCTTATACTACAAATGAAAAAATATACCACCACTTGACAGTAAGTTGTGGTAAGTGAAACTTGCATACTATAAATCCTAAAGCAAACGTCTAAAAAAATTATAATAAGCCAATAAAGGAAATAAAATGTAATCAGAACAGAAAAAGCAGCAGCAGCAACTGTAGAATACTGGTTTCCAGACTTTCATATCTCACAAACAAGTAAATTAGAAATAATACAGTAAATGAAAAAAAACTAACATAGGGTTAATTCTATTTTGCCAAGTAAAAACTTACATATAAACATAATTATATTACTATCACCATTAATTCATAAAAGAACAAGTATTTTAAAATTATAGAAGACCAATTACCAAATAATGTATCATTATTAAACACTTACTCCACTCTCATTTTTTTCTCACTTTACCATGGAAATTGCTATGTGGTTTGAGAAAAAGCATTTGGGTATCGCTGTTCTACAGCAGTAGAGCTCTGGCATCATATACAAGCACCATCAAGAAAAGACCGTTGATGCCTAAAAAAAGTCTTTTTAATAACTAGAAAACAAAGTGGTATAGAGTATTCTTCAGCTGATTCAGCAGTATTAGTTCAACTAAAAATTGCATCAGAAAGAGAAAGATTCTCTTATCAAAATTGATATCAAAACAATCAACATTCCAAGCAATTTTACAGGCACAGAGTAGTCACTCCACATGCCAGCAAACTCTAGGAGTTGGTCAAGATTGACGATACAATTTAATTGTACTTTAAAAATGTCAACCTGCTTAGTTTTACACACAGCTCTCCACTTACCTCCTGCTAACCCTGGACAAGTTACTCAACCTCTCTGAGCCGTACAGGACTGAAGATACATGTGAATTACTTAAGAGTGTGCCTGGCACATAGTAAAAGGGCTAAAGAAATATTAGCAGCTAGGCCCTGGCCAGGTACTCAGTTGGTCAGAGCAACAACCCCACGAGCCAAGGCTGCAGGATGCGGGTTAGATCCCAGGTCAGGGCACATACAAGAATCAGCCAATGAATGCATAAATAAGTGGAACAACAAATCGATGTTTCTTTCTCTCTCTCTTTCTTTATTTCTCTCTCCTCCCCCCTTCCCTCCCTAAAATCAGTAAGTAAAAATCTGAAAAAAAAAAAATATTAGGAGCTGTTACTATTATTACTCTCCCCACAAATGCTCCTTTCCTCATGTATCCAAATTTAATCACCAGCAATGGCTTTCTTTTTATAGTAAAAGGCACACATCTCCTTCCAGAAGCCTGTTTCCCTAACCAATTCCACCCAACTCTGCTTAATTAATTTGTTCCGTCATTCATTCATTCATTTACAAAGTAACTTCTACTTTTAGACAATAACTTCTTAACACTTACATGAAAAAGCTACCTTTTTCTTTCATGTAAAAGTTACCTTTTTCTTTTTTTTCATGTTTTTCATATTTTTCAGACTTAACCATTTAAGGCAAAAGTGTCTATATTTTATAGCTGCCAATGGCACCTAATGAATTCTGCAAAGAAATCAACATTTATTAAATGCTGGCTTCACCAACACAATTCTACAAAGACAATGGGTTTCTTAATTTTAACGTGCTGCTTCTCCAAAGCAATATCCCAACAGATGCGTTAATAGACACCAAGCAAAACGATTCCATGTCTCCACTAGCAATACAGTGTGTTTCTTTCTATCACTTTCACAAGTTCAACCTCTTGACTCAAAACTAATTTGCATGTCTGTATACCACGTAGTGTGAGTACCGGTAAGAAAACAGCTACCCATAATTTGCTAGTATTTGCTTCAGAAAGATAAAGTTTTCCCTTGGGCAAAACCACCTAGTAAAAATGGATCCCAAGTTTCCTCCAGCTCTTACGAGACGCACAAGAACAGCTTAGGAACTGCGTGAGTTACCTCGACATTATCCGTGAGACCGTACTCAGAGTGAGGATTTTCTGAAACCTAGAAAACAAAACACAGGTCACACAGACATCGGTCACCCTTTCTCGCTGCACACCGCCACCATGAATCCAGGGCCTCCGGGTACCTGCGTCTGTCCCTCCAGCATCTGCTCTGGCTCCATGGCGGACCCTGCAAGTCACAGTCCCCGGATACCAGTCTTGGAAAACAAGAACAACCATAAGTTACCCGGGAGATTTCAACACTACGACGCCAGGATGGAGTCCAGGCAAGCCCCCGACCCCGCCCCTCACCCCCACCTGGGCGCGGGATCACCCCGAGCAGTAGAGAAGCAGGGTGAGACAGTCCACGACCGGGTGCCCGCATCAGGTCCGGAAGCTCCACGATCCCAAGATCCTACAAGAAGTGGTGAAAAGGGTAAAGGGAGCTGATTACCCGCGCCCGAGCCGTCCGTTCCTAAGAGCCCTGCAGCGCGCCACCAACTCCCAGCACAAACCGCTTCCGCCGTAAGTGATGGACGTCGCACGACTAACGCGCTTGCGCAGAACTCCCCAGCGGGCCTAGAGTAAGGGAGGTTCCTGACGCGTCCTGAGTCAACCTTGTTCTCCGAGGTTTGCGGAGTACGCTGGCAAGGTCTGGCCACCCGGGCTATGGGGGAATCATTTCTCGACCTGCCCAGCCAAGCGGGCACCACCCCAACTGCAGACCCACTGACCAGTCCCCCTGGTAGTGTTTCGGCCGGCCAGCCCTCGGTGCTGGTTGAAAGCTTCTGCCCAACCTTTTCCTCCCGGAACCGAAACCACTTGCTGGATAGTTCTGTCTAGAGAATCTCAGACCCAAGCTCAACAGTCTGCGAAAGAATGTCAGTGTTTTACTCTAAAGCCAAACGAAGAAGCAGTGTTTTGGGGTTTCGTAGTAAGCCTTTATTCAAGTCCTTAAATTTGTGACTATGTGATGTTAATGCTACCTTATACGCTTGTATCAAGATTAGCAATACACAACTGGCTTTCCAAACCGTGGTACTATTGATACTATTGTTTTTGTAAAAAATACAAAGGGTATTTTTTGCCTCCACACTACTTGTAAGTAGCAAACAGAATCCAGTAAATCGGATTGTCTTAATTACCATACATTCCACTTATTTTAACGTAATTTTTTTTTTTTTTTCCCCTTGTTAGGCTGTTCCCATGCTTTCGGCACAGAGTTATCCACATGAAGAACAACCCTGTTTCCTAAGCTGGGGTTTAGTATCAGCTCACCACTGGATTGCACCAGCCAACCGAGAACTGGTCAGGTGCAGTGGCGGGTGGCTAATATTTTAACGTAATTTTAAGTTGTTAAAAGTTCATGCCTTTGACTCAATCCAATTTGTAGTTGCACTTTATAATATGAAATTTTGAAAACATCAAATATTTGGAGAGTAAATTATGGCATATCGATGGAATATCAGCCATTCAAAGTCATGACTGTAGAAATATGGAAATATTTATAATTATCACATTTTTTTTTTTAGGTAGAAGACAACTTCATTTTGCTACTCTAAAAACTGCATGTATAAAGATTAAAGTAAATATAGGAGCTAGACTTGTGGGTTAGTTTTTAAAGTTTCATTTTCTCATGTATACTTGATTAGTATTGTGATTGGTGACAGCTACCATCTAGCACTTAGAGGATTTTTCATGTAAGACTGTTGCAAAGATGCAACAGATGCATAGTAGAGGATACAGAAATTGACTAGTACCCATAGTAACTCAAATTAAGATTAAGTGCTTTTCAGGAGAGGGAAATAACAGCAAATAAGACCAGAGAATAATTGGGGAAACTTAGAGAATAGTTACGTGCATTGTTTTATTATAATTTATCCATACAGTTCCCAAAACATAGTAGACACTCAATGTATATTACCAAATTCCAGAAAGTAACTGAGAGCTGCAAATTTACATTTTCTAAGTACTAACAGTAAAGTAGGAAGCCAGACTGTGAGCTCCTTTATAGCAGGGACCTTGTCCTATATATCTTTGTACTTCACACAGTGCCTCGTACGTTGCAGGTGCACAACATTAATTGAGTTGACTTGATCCATAGTCAAAATTGGATATTAATGTATACACCCGACACTTCTGAAGGAAAAAAAAAAGACAATGTAAAAATGATTTCTGAAGGGAGCAGCATGGAACACTTAACTAACAGCCAGGTTTCTTTCAGCCTAAAGAAGAATTATTAGTGTGGTATACATAAAAGTTTCACCAAAGTTTTACATTTACAACATTAATTTTAAGGGTCAGAAAACAAGCCATTTCAGCAGAAAGATGAGCAGATTTAAAAAAATGACAACTAGAAATGATATAAATGAGTTACCAAGAAAGTAAGAAGAATAAAGTTAATTGAAGATACTACAGGATGCTAAGTTTGGATATGAATTAAAGATTCTGAAGAGGACCTGGGAACCATGATTATGAGAGGGTTTTCAATAATGTATACTGTCTAGACAGCAATATATTAAAAGAATGAGCACATTTAATTGTTATTTGGACTTGTGTTAAACTTTGTTCAGTACTCTTCTCATCTGCTTCTAATATGTCCTATTATGATACCTCATTTTGCCTTATATTTTGTTTACAGTTAAACACAATTAGATTTGAGCTCTTCTGAAACAAAGATCTTATTATATTCATCTTTGTATTTATTTCTTATATTCAAAAGGAGAATATAAATATACTCCTTTTTTAATAAAGGCGTATATAAATATACTTTCAAAAGGAGTAATATATAGGGAAAGCAAGCACTGGCACTAAAGTTCTTCTCTAGACTTCCTGTCTTTCTTGAAGTTTTAAGGAGATAGTAGTTAAAGATTCTAGAACTAGAATTCTAGAATCTACAATAGTAAAGAACACTTGTGCCCGATCTCCTTTTTACATACTTGGTGCAAATTCCACTTAAAAAACATTAACCTATTAGGCAATACCTACTTAGGAATAATATAATATATATAGTAGAGAAACAGTTGATTTGGGTATAAATATTAAAACCTGGCTTCCTCACTTGTTTGCCATGTGAAATTAACCAAATAGTTTAACATCTGAGCATCATGTTTTTTCATATATAAAATTAGGGTAATAATTCTTCATCGAGAGGCTCAAATGAGATAAGATAGATGAATCTGCTTTGTAAACTTAAATACCTACTTTATCGGTATCTACTTCAATATTACAATGATGTTCTATCTTTTTTGTTGTTGCTTCTATTTTTTTTTTCCAGGAAATTTATGGAAAAGAAAGTGCTCAGAGAAATAAAGAACATGATTCAATATGCATGTGCTTGCACACACACACAGATGTGTGCATTGATATGTGGTAGAATTTATTGAGTGTAAATGGGCCCTCTGAGCAGTTTGTGGGGAGGGGCATGAGCCACCTCTCAAGACCTAGAAATATATATTCCAGATTCCATAAATCACTTTTCCAAGGAAGTATCTTTTGGTGGTTAATGTAGGAAGACATTAGTTCCCTTGCCTCCATTACCAAATCCCATACCCAAGCACCCTTGCCACCATTCCCATCTCTGGAATACTGGTGTATCAAGGAATTTTTAAAAGTTGATTTTATTATTTTTTTTAATCCACATAAACTTATGTTTATAAAAAAGTCATGGGTTATTAAATAATAGGTAAAATATATAACTTTGATATCTCAGTTTTAAGATACCCAGAGCCATTCCATGTTAATTTATGTTGAAACCACTTCTTAAAGACAAATTTGCACAGTAAAATAGAAATACATAGTTATGCCATATTGTTGTTGTTGCTTTCCTAAAAAGAGGCTTTTATTCCTTTGGGTCCACCATAGATATTTCATATTATCTCTTGGTCCCAGGGCTCCTGGATGGGGTTGGTCCCAGGGAGGGCCTTCTCATGGAGGTCCCTGTGTAGTATTAGATCTGTAGGTACTGGCATAAAAAGACATTCACAACATAATTTTATGTGAAAAAAGTGCATGTTGTAGGAAAATCTTTGTAGTGAGATTCTATTTTTGTACATGTATATTTGTATTTGCATAGGAAAAAGCCTGGATAGATATACAACAAACTATTAATAATGGTTACCTCTGGAGAGGGAAGATGAGGAGGGGAAGTCTTTGCTTTATACAAACTTTTACATAATGTTTGAACCTTTTTTTTTTTTTACCAAAAGCATTAATTTGTTTTAAAATTAATTAGAAAATATTATCATATAAAACATTCAATAATGGCAAAGAGTATTATGTGAGTAATGAGTCTAATCAGTTGTATGGTAGTATTAAGAGAAAAATCTTCCAGTTCATTCTTCCCGTCACCCAGTTATTTTTAGGTAGTGTGAAGAAAACAGTTAACATATTAGGCCTGAGATTGCTATCCTCAGGCCTACTTGCAAGATTGGCTGGTGTCTGGGAATTTGAATAATAAACAGTTTCCTACACTGATAGAAACTTTCCCTAAATGACAAGAATGTCTGATTGTGTCTAAACTATTTGTGCAAACAATATGGTTTATATCAAGTACCTGCATATCCCTTCTAGGGGTCTGGAATTTTGGTATGTCTTAGGTAGAAGGTGCCAATATAATCAGCCCCAACAAAAACCCAAGCACTGAGTTTCCGATGAGTGTCCCTGGTAAACAATATTTCTTATGTGTGGTCAGAACCTATTGCTAGAGGAATTAAGTGTGTCCTGTGTGGATCCAATGAGAGAAGACTCTTGGACGCTGCTGACTCATTTTCTCCAGGTTTTGTCCCGTGTGGCTTTTCCCTGTGCTGATTTTGCTTTGTATCCTTTTGCTGTAATAAAGCATAGCAGTGAGTATTGACTGTATTCTGAATCCTGTGAGTCCTCCTAGCAAATCAAACCTAGAGCTGATCTTGAGGATCTCAGACTCCTGGGCAGTTTAAGATATACATAAATTACAGTGTCTTCTCTCATAAATTTCTATTTTGTTAATCAAATATCAGACATATAGATTTGATACATATAAATGACAATATAAGATAATGATTGACTAAAGGTTAAGTTGAACACTATAGAGCATAAATTCTGAAGGAGTTCAGAAGAGATTGAGATAAATGTAAGTAGGTTATCTTTGGAGTAGCATTGAGCATACTTACCTGGCAGGGGAGATACCATGATCACTGGAGTAGTATTGAGCAAAGAATAAGTATTTAAGCAAAGCTGGAAAGGGGCAGGGTGGAATATAGACTGAAACACTAATGAAGACATATGGAGAAACTCAATTATCCTTACCAGAATATAGGAATTGAGCTTATCTGGCAAGGTGAAGAAGAGGATCTCAAGGATAAAGAAAACTTCCTGAAACCACTGCAGCTGGTAGGAGCCACCCTTAAAAGCAGACAACTCCTTTCATGTATTCCAACATATGCCCAGTGCTAATTACTCCCATTA